AAATATATATATATATATATATATAGTTTTTTGTTATTAAGTATCATTGAATTTATTGTAATAATATTTCTTAAGTAACAATCATTATTGCTAGAGAGAGTGTTATTTATTTTTATTTTGTTGCGAATTTATCGATTGCCTTCCATTTAAGTAAAATAAATAAATACAAAGTTATTCGCTAAGGCGCCTCTTTTTTTTATCTTCACCTTATCGTTAGAAGTATTTTATATTAATATTTTATGTTATACTTAATGATACATGTATTTCATGATATTGTCACATATTTTATTATTATTTAATGATAAGTATGAATAACATGAAAATTGTGCAGCTACTCTTCGTAGTTGTTAGTCAGCTGCAAAATTTACTTTGCAAATATATAACAAGTATTTCTTTTTTTTTTATTAGCAAAAGTGTCTGTCAGCATTAAAAATATTGATGTCAAAAACTATATTTTTCAAATAAGTAAAAAAATATCAATATAAACTTTATTTTATTAATATTCTTTTTTAGCAAAATAATTAATGCAAGTTGCAGTTGTTCGTCCTTCCTTTCTGAAATTAATAGATGTGTAACGAAAAATCAACTGAAAAATCGTGTCGTTCTTCACGCGCAGAAGCAGCGCCGCAGATTCCCTCACTACATCAACTGCTATTCATAGTCACAGCAACCACGATCAGCTGTTTGTAACAAGTGTTCCTGCTACTCAAAATCCAACTAGTTTGCTTTCTAAAATTAGTGTCTTTGATGTGCGAGTTTTCAATTATCACAAGTTGTATAATTCAAGGAATAAATTGTGCGCGTTGACATAAATGCAATTAAAGTGTAAACCAATTTATCAAACAATATTGCTTGGCATAGGTTAGGAACAACCATAATAAAAGTTTGTCAATTAAAACAAATCATAATTAAAATAATGTGGAAACGTAAAGTGGAATCAACTACAAGTAAACCAACAAAAAAGTGTCACTGGTCGACTGGTTTGCTTAAATCAATGGAGGACCCTGAATGCAAAATTAAAGAAGATGATAAGATAATTGTCATTAACGATAAATATCCTAAAGCACAATTTCACTATTTGGTTTTGCCAAAAGAAGATATTCTTTCCATATGGCATGTCCAAGGAAAGCATCATGATTTGCTAATACACATGCATAATGTAGCTCGTACTCTTGTGGAGAAACAAAGTAATCATGAATTCATGTGAGTTTCAAAATAATACAATAATATATAATAATAATGACAATATGAGTGATAATCTAGTAGTAATAAATTTCAACCAAATATAACATGTTATACGATTATTAAAAATATATATAAGACTGCGCCAAAATTGTTCTTATATTGTGCAAAAGTTTCCATCATTTTAAGGTATAATTTTTTCTTTATTAATATCTTACAAATCTTATAGTACAATATCTTTAATCAAAATATTTTCCAACATTATCTATCATTTATTGTCACTTTTCAGGCAAGAGATGGATATTATGATAAAAGAAGTCTCCTCTTTTTGAAGCAACCTATACATGATGGAAACTCTTGCATATTCCTGATATATTTGATTAAAATTCTGTTAGAATTACTTTGATTCTTACAGTATGGGTTATCATGCAATGCCAAGTATGCAGAGACTGCACTTACATGTAATAAGTACGGACTTCAATAGTCCTTGCCTCAAAACCAAGTACCACTGGAACTCATTTACGACACCATTCTTGTTACATTCATCAGGTACGCGTCAATATCACTAATTAGATAATTATACTAATGGAATTGCATTTTAGATGTATGTCGTCAGCTGCGCGAAACAGGCGAAGTCAAGAAAATTCCCACGGAAACTTGGAAAGATTATCTGAACACGAACCTGAAATGCCATAAGTGCTCAACGCAGCCGAAAAATATGCCAGATTTGAAGAGGCATTTATTAACACACATTGACAGTAAACAACAATAAAAAAATTGGATGTACATCAAATGCAAAATGTGATTAAAATTTTGATCACATGTATTTAAAGAAAATAAATTTTATCATTTCGTATCTAACTCGCTGGAAAGCTTACAAATTTTCGCAAAACATTAAGCCAAACATTTCTTTGTTCAAAATAATAAATTGTTTTGTTATTTAATATTACTTAATGCGCTAAAGGACCTTTTAAAGGATAGGATTATTGCAAGGTAAATGAGAATACAGATTTATGCGATATTTCGGAAAATTTACTATAAATAAATTTGATGTTATTCTTAATAGATCTTGGCGCCTATAATATCAATTACATTCTAATTATTTACAAAGTCTTCTCGTAAGTTGCGCGTCATGTTCGAGGGGTACTTAGAGTGTACATTGACGGTGTGTGTGTTTCTGTGTGTATGCGTGTATGTGTGTATATGTGAAGCATGTATCGTGTGTATGTTATACTTAATTTGTATACATTTAGTAATACTGCAATTAATAGTTGAAGCGTTTCTGCTGTATCGAAACAGTAGGCATCTGAATACTCGCAAGGCCTTGCTGTTATTGCTTGCGTATTCTCGCAGATTCACGAACGGTTCCGCGACGGGGTGTAAAGATTTCCGATTTTAAGTATCCATCTCGCGTTCGAGACTTCTAGCCTAATTAAATTAACTATTTCTTTTCTCACTGAACGTAGTGCCTCGCCGTATTTTCTTACGGAGTCACGTTCGAATCGACTATGATATATATATGGTGTGAGGGGGAGGGAGGGTGACTGACTTGCGGTCCGCAAGGGCAGCAGGAATCTCGGGGGAGCGGTCGACGGTCGAAAAACATTTTCGCCGAATGTTCCTCGCCCTTTTCGGAAAAGCCGGCACACCCATTGTATCCTCTTAGAGAGGCGCGCGCGCGCATTCCCATCTAAAAGTTTGCAACGCCTGCATAAAACGTAGGACCTGCAAAGTTTACCACGATGGAAACAACGCGCGCGCGCGCGATCCGCTCTCCCTATCTCGTACGTAAAAAAAAAAGGACAAAAGACTGACGCAAGTGTACGAGATCGGCGATCGGATTCGTGTTACGTACTCTCTCTCCGGAAAAGAAGCACAACGTGTGACATTTATTTACACATACTCGGAAATATATTATTATTTGTCTCTTATATTACGTTCGAAAAAATAGATTTATATATATATATATATATATGTATATATATATAAGACTTCGCGCGATATATAAACCAAAGTTCCACGACCCAAAACGTGCTTGTTTGCGGTAGAGAGATTACGCTGCGAAATCGTAGGGACGCGATTCGCCTGAAGCGAAATTTCAAACTAGGAATAGCTCTCCCTCGCAATCGACTCTCACTAGAAAGAAGAAGAAAGAGGCCTAGCCGGGACACGACGATGGCTGTTCATTCGTTCACACGCTTTTCGTCCGCCCGCACCGTACGCGACTCGCCAAAAGCGGTCATTTTAGACAAGGTCGCTGGGTAGCGAGAACAATGCCGATCCGTAAAGGAACGAATCACCATTTTTTCGAACATAACGCGGTGCAACGCGCGCAACCATCGGTCGCGTCCCGCCCGTTCCCCAAATACCCTGTTTATATCTACGTCGTGCGAGAGAAAGAAAGAGAGATGAGTAAAGGTTTCCGTCACAGCGGAGATCGCAAACGAGCCGTGTCGAGAATCAACGAGAATTAAACCTAAACGCGATTTTAAACCTAAGAACGTTTATACACAGTTTCATTCCCTAACTATTATTCACATTTCATAAATATTTTATATATATATATATATATATACGTATATATATATATTATTTCCGTATGTTTAGAGTAATGTACAAGTATGATACACGGTCGAACTACGGCTCGGTCGCGATGTCACCGGGGGGGAAGGGGGTGTGTCGAATCGCGTCTCGATTTTCCTTATCTTATCAACGCGGCAGTACGTATTTACAATAAACGTGTATACCTAAAAACAGCTAGGTCTAACGACAATAGTTGACGTATAATATAGAATATATATAATATATATATATGTACGCAGTAACGTGGCAACAACGCAGTGGTGATAATAGTAATAGTAATAGATAATAGTATAGTAGTTAGCGTTAATAATTTAAATAGTAAATATAGTCGCAGTGGTGGTAGCGATAGTAACTAGTCTGTAATCTCTATGTACGCAGCGGTCCTCGCGCGCAAGACTATTTAAAAACGAAGGGGGGGAGAAAAAAAAAGAAGAAACGAGAATAAATAATTCGAGGCAAGTAACGGTAGGAATAAATTAACGAGAAACGCGAGGCCGTTCACAATTAAATAATCTAATTCATATTATATATGCGAGGGAAAAAAAAATGAATGCTAATACTTGACTGCCGCAACAATTACGCGAACGATAATTATCGCAATTTCGCTAAACGCTACAAATCATACTGTAATAATCGCACTAAACAAACAACGACATTATTAACCGATCGACGATACGCTCTAAACGAATTTTACTAGCGCCTCTTAAAGCTATCAAACGAGTCTATATATTGCTATCTAAGAGTCCTTTCTCAGATGTGTAGTCTTTCGCAGAGGAGGAGACGAGAACCAAGTTCCTCATTCCCCGTGCCCTCTTTCTCCACCGCGTCCTGCTCTTTGTACAAACGAACGTGCGGAAAAGAGTACAAACACCGATCACTCGCCCTCCTCAATATTTCCCACCTAATTTATCGATCGCACACGCTCGAGTCCGCGAGGGCCGGGGAGAGACGACGAGAAGTGGAACTAAGCGGGGAAGAAACGCCGTGGTAAGACAACGATATCCTTTTCCTTTCCTACTTACGTATCTACTATGTTACAGAGTAAGAGTGCTTTTACGCGGCCTGCTCTTCGTAGAAACGCGCTACAATATTTACAGAAAGTATTCGCGAGGGGGAGGGACAAAAGTTCGAACAAGAAAAAGGGGGGAGGAAACGACGATGTGACAAAGAATACTGCGTGTGTGGTACACCGCGAAGAGAGCAAAGATCGCCCGGAATGTCGCGATATTCCGGGGATCCTTTACAGGCAACGTAAACGTCTTGTTAAAGCTGCACAGTGACTCGTTATCCACCATTGCATTTTCCGTTTCAATCATTTTTTTGTTGTTGTTTGTTTTTGGCTAAACCTCGACTAAATTGACTTCTAAACTCGGCGGCGATGTCTAAGCTAAGGGCCGCGCGCGGACCTTTAATTCCACCTAAAATATTGCATTCGGCGTATCCGTCGCTGCGCGTGACGCGTGAATTTGACTATACTTAGGAATAAAGTACTATAACAGGCACCGTGCGACGCAACCGAGGCCTCTTTGGACGAGAGAATCTTTTCTGAAGTGTGATCCGGAACGCCTTTTTTTTTTCTTCTTTCGAAAGCCAATTTACGTTGAAAATGTTTTGATCGTGTGCTGAATCCGGATGATCGCGTATCGCGAAAATTGTAAACGTTGTAATTTACGGGTGCGCGGACTTTATTTTTCTTTGCTCCCCCCCCCCCCTCCCTCCAAGCGATCTCGATCTCACGCGAACGTACGAATGCTCGCGTCACGTCGCACGGCAGCAGGCGCTGCGAATACAGAGCCGAAGCCTTGGCTAGAAATTTTTCTAATCCTCCGTTGTTGTTTTTTTTTTCTTCACCGCGCACACGCGAACGTCGCGGCGTCGTCGTGCAGTTCTCGCGCGCAGATGATGCGATTCTCTCTACAGGTTCAACAAAATAAATAGCAAACGTAAGTGATAATGGACACCGCACGACGATGACTCCTGACGACGGAGGTCACATTTCGGAATTTTTGCCTAATGAATTTCTGCCTAAACTGTACAAGGTGCGCGATTTCGACGCGCGATAAATCTACTAATCTATCCTTTTTACAATAGGCTAACACGCGGACGAACAATTCGGTTCGTCGTCTCTTCTCGTCGGAAACGGACCGATTTTCACCACTCGCGGACTTTACCACTGTGTTCTGTCTCTTTTTAAGTGGCGGTCGTCTCCTGCAGGCCGTAACAGTGGACTCGCGTCTCCTCGATAGCTCTGCACCACTCCAATGCGAATCCCTCTGGATCTTCAAGATAGTATGTCCTGTTCGGCTGTAAAGAAGAAGAAAAAAATTTAGATATACCGAACTGTAATTTTTGAAGAAAGTATTGGAATGTCTGATGGTTTATTATTTCCAATTATTTATCTTTTTTTGAGGAAAAAACACGTACCGTGTGAACGAAGAAGATCTTGAAATTCTTCGGCTCGACCCTCAGTTCGGGACTCCAGGGTATCTCACCCTTGAGCACCATATTGACAGGATCGACGTAGTATAGATGCGGTCCGGTGGTGAGCAGAAGCATTCTCCGCCTGGCGAACAGGCCCTTCCTCTTGTTGACGAAGCCCTGCTTCAATATCAGATTGCCCTCGACGAAGATGTCCCACTGGCTCGAGGCGCGCTGCTTCTCCAGCCGCGTTCTGACCTGCTCTGTCGTCAGATCGGCGATGTTCGCTCCGCCGTCGGCAATGTTGGTCCGCCTTCGTATCGGCTTTTCCACAGTCGTGATGGTTTTGCTGACGGGCTTGATGGCAGCGCGCTGCTCCGCACCAGTGGTGACGGTGGTATCGTCATCGTCGTCGGTGTCCTCGCCAATGCCCAGCCCGAGGAGCCTGGTGAGCTGCTTGTCGTCCAGACCGGGCTCGAGATTGTCGGGCACTCTGTACTGCGATCTCATCTCCTCGTGCTCCGATGTGCCGGGCAGGTACGGATAGATCGGCGGCGGTGTCTGCTCGTGGAGAGTCTCAAAGTCGACGCCCTCGAAAAAGGGATGCGCCCGGATGCTAGGGTAACCAGCGCCGTGCTCATCCAGAGCGCCCAGCCGCTGCGCCGGCTCCAGCACCAGGAGCTGACTGACGAGCGATCTGGCTAGCTCGCAGAAACCGTCCGGTATCTCGTATTCGAGTTTCAGGATCTTCTGGAATATCATGTACTCGCTCCTGGAGCGGAAGGGCGGCAGGCCGGCGACCATCTGGTAGACGATACAGCCCAGAGCCCAGAGATCGGACGCCCTGCTCGCCGTCTTTTCGGTTAGTAGCTCCGGTGACACGTACTGAGCGGTACCGACGAAGGAGCCCCTTCGGTCCCTGCGATACTGCTGCTGCTGCTGCTGTTGAGCGTCTGCGTCCGAGGCGGGCACCGTCGTCAGCACCGTCTCCGGATCATCCTTGAGAATCTTGGCGCTGCCAAAGTCGGTGATGAGCACGTGCATCTTCTCGTCCAGCAGGATATTCTCCGGCTTGAGATCCCGGTGAATGATACCGAGCCCGTGTAGGTACTCGAGACCGCGCAGAATCTCGGCCGAGTAGAACTTGGTGCACTCGATGTCGAAGGAGCCCACCTTGTTGATGTAGGGTAGGAGTTCGCCGTTTTTAGCGTACGACAGGACAAAGTAGAGTCTCTCCATGTCCTGGAAGGTGCAGAACAGGCTCACGAACGAGTGCTTGGCGTCCGCGAGCATGTTCAGCACCTCCTTCTCACGCTTCACGTACTCGGTCTTCTTCTCCTTGATGATGTGACGCTTCTCGCACACCTTAATCGCGTACTCCCTGCTGGTGTGGATGTCTTTGGCAAGGTAAACCTGTCGAACATTTCCACCTCGTTATTTCACGTTTACGCCTTATTTATTTTTTATTTTCATTATTTTATTTCATTATATTACAATTATATACAATTTCAAGGCATATGTGCGAAAGGGGACTTACAGTGGAGAAGCTTCCCTCGCCGATTACTTTGCCGAAGATGAAGTCCTTCGGGGTACGCTTGTGCGTCTGTGGGTTGATGCTGGTGAGGGACGGGTTCGACAGATTCGTGGTCGGTGGAACCCGAGGCGCCAGGGTGCTGGGCGGCGCCACCACACCGTTGGTCACGTCGTTCGTCGGTGGAGACATTTTGGACACCGGCCCCTCCACCGTTACTGCCGGCTGTGGCGAAACGGTAAGCGCCTGGTTCGCCACACGCTGCAACCGAGAATGCGCAACTTATCAGGCACACTGTCCGTGATCGTCTGTTGGCTATACTCGCGAACGTCGATAAGCGGATTGCTAAATAGTATATCCGTAGCCTTGTCGCCTTGCAACTTTGTACCGATAGTTGCAAACTTGATAAAGTGTCAAAAGTCAAAAGTCACGCGAGAGTGGAAGTAAATTTCCTTTCCGCTTTTAAAACGGCGATATTAATTTTAAATCGAGGTAGATCCGCAAAATTCTCAGATTTTTCCAATTTCTCGGATAATGAAAGAAAAAAAAAAAAAAAAAAAAGAACGGTGATGTAAATAAAATCGGAGCAGCGAACGTTAAGACGCGCGCGCGCGCGGCGCGCGCGCGCGCG